TTTAAGGCCAAAAACATTTAAAATGTAAAACATTTTAAGACTTTTTAAGACCCAACGAATACCCTGTTGAAACATTGAATTTCAGAAATTTGCAAGCAATTTGTTCCACGTATAGTTGAAGTCAATATTATTAGCCCTCCAGTGAATCGTTTGTTTCATCATTTTCTGAAAAGAGCATGGAATTTTTCACATATTTTCCTGTAATATTTATTTTTTTTCCTAGAGAAAGTCTTATTTGTTTTATTTTTGCTAAAATAAAAGCAGTTTTACATTTTTTTAAACATTTTTAGGTCAATATTTTACCCCCCTTAAGCAATATTATTTTTTCGATTGTCTACAGTACAAACCATCATTATACAACGACTTGCCTAATTGCCTTAACCTGCCTATTTGACCAAGTTAAGCCTTTAAATGTCACTTAAAAAAATATTCAAATATGATGTACACTACCTGAAAAAGTCTTGTCTTTGATCCCAGTTGTAAGATCAACAAAAAATGATCGACTTAGTTGATCATTTGGAAAAGTGGCAGAAGGTAGATTATTCTGATCTGCATCTGAATCATCTGTTGAACTGCATCCCAATCCTCACAAATACTGCAGAAGACCTGCTGGAACCCGCATGGACCCAGCATTCTCATAGAAATCAGTCAAGTTTGGTGGAGAAAAAATCATGGTTTGGGGTAACATTTAGTATTCAGTATGGGGGTGTGTGAGAGATCCGTGGATAGCCACATCAACAGCCTGAGGTACAATATTAAGACATTTGTGCTGCCCGTTACATTACAAACCACAGGAGAGGGCAAATTCTACAGCAGGATTGCGCTCCTTCTCATTCTTCAGCCTCCATATTAAAGTTCCTGAAACCAAAGAAGGTCAAGGTGCACCAGGATTGGCCAGCCCAGTCATCAGACATAACCATTATTGAGCATGTCTGGGATAAAATTAGGGAGGAGGCATTGAAGATGAATCCAAAGAATGTTGATGAACTCTGGGAGTCCTGCAAGAACGTGTTCTTTGCCATTCCAGATGACTATAATAATAAGCCAACTGAGTCATTGCAGAGATGTATGGATGCAGTCTTCCAAGCTCATGGGGATCATGCACAATATGAATTCTTTTTCCACTGCACCATGACTTCTATACTGTACATTACTTCAGTCAAGTGACAAGACTTTTGTCCAAGCAAAGTCAGATCTTACTGACCTAATTAAATAATTAAAAAATATTTTGGTAAAATAAGCGTAATCTAGAGGCCTTTGCCTTTTATATAAGCCACTTCTAATACCAAATGATAAACAACAAGTCAAGTTATCATTTGTTGTTCCTAAAACTTGAATAGGTGATAAGACTTTTGTCAGGTAGTCAGGCCCGGCGCCAGGAAGTCAAAACTGAGGGGGCACTTTAAATCCATAGGGGGGCACTAGACCTGGTGACTGATTTTGGTCTCTTGTTTCTTTCATTTAGGCTATTTATTCGCATTTATTATTACTTTGCATTACTGCCTAAGTTACTGACCTAAGGCAGTAATATAGGCTACGTTTTAATAGTAATAACAATACGCAGTTTCGCTATTACGAATTTTATTAACGATGGTAATGCATACCGCTTATTAATGCAGACGGATGATGGCTTCAGTGCCAAACGAGTGCTTTAAATCATATGTTATTCTCCTTATTTCCGTTTTATTTCAAATAACAGCCCTATGAATGTTTAAAGTTTTAGGTAAAGACGTCAAATTATGCCCACACATGCAAGCTGACCCACGATCAGACAATTCATTTAACCGGTAAATAAATATAGTGAAATCAGCTTAACCGAGTCATCACGCTTCACAACCAACATCAGTGTTGGGGAAAAGCTAAATGTGACAATCTAATGTCATTCAAAACAATTACTTAGTTACATTTTAAGGCATTAGTGTAGCCAGAAAAATACCTAAAAAAGATACAAAAATTCACAGTTATTACCGTGAAAATTGGTTAAATTTTTATATGCTATATAACTTTTTTTTCATCATTTTAAATGTAAAAACAAAGATTTGTCTAAGGCTATTATAAATGTGCTTTTTTTGTGATATTGTAAACCATCATAAACCATATGTACCATAGTTTCTAGGCCTACCCGTCATTTTATTTATTAATTATTTTATTTATTAGGCCTTTTTTAATAGCTTGTTTTCAGGTTATTTTCATTTTAGGGCCATGAGCTAAGTCAAAACAAACTCGATATGTTGTATTTTAGCTCTTAAAACAGATCTACAATATATTTTATGTAGTTTAATTTTGCATGAGCAAATAGCAGTATAGCCTAAGTTACATATTTTTAAAAGATGATCATTCTGCCTACCTGCAGCGCACAAGATTTCTCGGTTGATCCGCGGTAAATCCACTTAAGCACTATACCTATTCCATTTATAACACTGCAAACTTGACTTCGCAGGCCGATCATCTTTAAACGCAAAATGCATTTATTATGTGTTATACCTTGACTGCAGTTGCATAATGGGATGTTTCTCTACGCAACTGTAAAAGTGCACCTTTCAGCAAAATGAAAGCAAACATTCAAAGGGTTCTGCGTTTTGTCAATTTTAGCTTAATTGTAATAATATTAATAATAATATTAATAAATAAATTAAAATATTATTTATAGTGTAGCCTACTGTGGGACTGTGCAGTAAACTATTTATTTTTATTAAAACATTTTTATTAGGCTACATCTTCCCGAATAACTAATAAATGACTGGCAGTTGCGTCTCTGCTAAAATTAATTTAACAGCAAATTTCTTATGTGTTTTTTTCCTTTTAGAGCTCAAGAGAGTTGTGTTTAAATAATTAGTTAACCAAAACATGTAATGAATTAAGCTGCTCCTATCATGTCACCCATTTTCTCCCTTGTGAGTTGAGTGCGCCTCCATCGCCGTGTGCGCGTTTTAAAGGCTATTTACGGGCGCACCAGACCTGACGCGGGGACCGGATCTCTGGACTATAGGACTAGCTTTAACCTCACCATTTTCATAATTTAATTGCTATGTCATATATTTTAAAATATTTAAATGTGTGTTCTGAAGGTTGGAAGGACGGGAGTGTTAATAATTAATGACAGAAAGAATTTTCAGTTTGAGTGAACAATCCTTTATAAAAACTGGGGGGGCACAAACTCTGTCTGAGGGGGCAATGCCACCCTTTGCCCCCCCGTAGCGCCGGGCCTGCAGGTAGTGTACTGTCATCATGTCAAAGATTAAAACTATTTTGTTTAGAAATGTGTTTAGAAAAAGTCTTCTTTGTGTTAAACAGAAATTGGGGGAAAATATACAGGGGGCTAATAATTCAGGAGGGTTAATAATTTTGACTTCAACTCTATATTAAAGTACTGAAGTTTTATTGTTATTAAAAGTGATTTAGTATTTAAATATTAGTAGCAGTTTTAGTCATATTAAACATCCTGGAAACCTGTGTGACTTGACTTTGGCAGATATTTGCAGTAACCATGGTGACCGCATTGTGTAATATCATTAACGGGTCATTAGAAGAGTCAATATCACTAATGAGGTTTTTAATAGCGAACAGCCACAATGCTTCCAACACTTAATTAAATGAGACCATTTGGTCTGGAACATTTTAAATGGGTTAATTAAAGCTTCTACTCAGGCCACTAAAAATCATTTAAAATACTATAATTATAATGACACCGAAGAAAGGGAAATAAATATTGTAGCATAATATATTTCCACTAGGTTTCATGAATGATTGATTTTTACTGTTTATCAAGCTACTAATCAGTGTTATAAAAAGGCCTATACAAATAAAGAATACACAGTTGAAGTCCGAATTATTATCCCTCCTGTTAAACATTAATTCTTTTATATTTTTATAACTTAAAAGTTCTGTTTAACAATGAGAATATTTTTGTACCAACACAGTTAATAACTAGTTTCTAATAGCTGATTTCTTTTATCTTTGCCATTATGACAGTGCATAATATTTTATTAAAATAAAATGTTTTTATAAATGTTTAATTAAATGAACTAAATAGTTTTCTTGATACTAACATTGTGTTATTTTTAGAGGCCCGTATTTTGCATTATAAAAGGTCATATTATGGATTTGGGGCGTCTCCAACAACAGGCTAATGTGTGCTGATAGGCTGATCCAACAATGTGCCTTAACACACCTCCTTTTTAGACCAGAACACCCATGAGTCCACAAAATGGCGCAAATGGATTTGCTATTTAACAGCTAAAATTGAAAAGTAGGCTTAGGCTTGTCTGAAAAAAGCAACAAATTGCACTAAACGTCTTGCAGCTTTTTGTGCTGGGTGTATGATAGGGCCAAGTATATTGTAATCCAACTGCATATACAGTTGAAGTCAATATTATGAGCCCTCCTGTCAATTTTCTTTTTCAAATATTTTTGCACATTATGTTTAACAGAGCATGGAATTTTTCACAGTATTTCCTATATTTCCTGAGAAAGTCTTATTTGTTTTATTGTGGCTAAAATAAAATTTTTAGTTAGATTTTTAAAAATCAATTTAAGGTTAACATTATTAGCCCCTTAAGCAATAAATTTTTTATTATATTTATTTTTTATTGTCTACAGAACAAACCATCGTTATTCAATGACTTGCTTAATTACTTTAACTTGTCTAATTACCCTAATTAACCTAGTTAAGCCTTTAAATCACACTTTAAGCTAAATACTAGTGTCTTGACAAATAGCTAATAAAATGTTATGTACTGTTATGTACTATATCAGTTATTAGAAATTAGTTATTAAAGCTATTATGCTTCGAAAAGTGTTCAAAAAAAATGTCTTTCCGTTAAACAAATATGAGGAAAAATACAGGGGGGCTATTAATTAAGACTTCAACTGTAATCACACCTTTTGTTCCATAAAATCCAGCACAGAATTGGCTAATTTACTACACTAGATGCACTGTATTTCCCAGGAAGCAATAATGGGTATAATCATTTACACAGTTACGTTTGTGGTCTACTTACCTCTGCATTGGCGACTCTACAGGACACGTCAGACTGATTGTGTCCTTGGTGATCTCCACTTTCCGGACACTTCCGAAAAAGTCAGTGATGAGGACACTCCCCGGATCCCTTTGGAACAGGTCAGTACGGTGGCCCGGAGTTGAGACACACTGACTTTGTGGGCACACTTTAAACTGAAACAAATGCACACCTATCCATCAAACGGGATTTTAGACACAAATGAAGAGTTTAATTACAGATTGTCAAGTTCTAGTACACTGAAAAAAATATCAATGGATTTATTACATTTTTTAAGGTAAGCGGTTACAAACAATTTATATGGGCTGAATTTAAACAAACACATTAAGTTGAACATTGCAAAATTTTATTTGTTTGGTTTAATTTGGGCCCATATAAATTGTTTGCAACCACTTACCCTGTAATGTAGTAAATCCAATAGATAATTTTGTTTTTTGATAGTAGTGCATTCACTCAAAATGATTTTACAGTTTAATAATAATAATAATAATAATAATAATAATAAACATTATTTAAATAACATCTGTTGTATGATGTGCCCTGTATAGTCTATACAAAAGCATTTAAAGGTGCAGTATGTAAGTTTGACACCCAGTGGTTGAACAAGGTATTGCACTCCTAGTTCAAATCACACGCAAGCGCAGGTTGCCAGATTTAAGACATAAACAGGAGCGTGCCTGACTATTTAAACCGTACTTTAAATAAAAGCAACAGCACACGATAGAAGGAATTCCATTTTTAAAGGAGCTTTTGTCCCTACCACGCTTGAAATCAATATTTTAGAAAAAGCTTTTATTTCTTGCAGCTATACAACCGAATAAACTGATAACGATCACCTCAGGTACACCTCATGTGCTTTATTCAGTGATAAATGCTAATAATGTAAGTTTAAATGCTATTTTACATGACATGTATTGCCATACTACTGAAAGCAGCAGCAGAGAGTTCACCTCAGACTTAAAATAAAAAATAAAATAAACCATTTGAAATGGAACTTCAGAACCAACAACTATCAGTAATTCAGCATATAGATTTAATAATGTTAAAGAGGTTTAATATGTGTTAGATTAGTGTAATTAATTAACGATTATTAATTATGTAATTAGATTATAAACCTTACCATGTTGTTGGAGTGCAGTAAGTGCACTATTCTGTGCTTTTTAATGGCTGTATTTAAACTTCTGTCATGTTTTTTTCTGGTGCAAACAGTCAATTTGCTTATCACTGCAAAACTTGTCACATTGTTAAGACACAGGGTTACAATGTAACCTGCTCACCTAATGTTTATGTTCATAATATTAACATATTTGCTAATTAATAACCAATCCATGTGGAACTCTGAATCTGCGTCTGATTTCGTAGGCTGTTACTGTCCATGGGAGATCGCATTTCAGTCATGGACACACACTTCGAGAGTCTTCCTAGCTGAATGATTGAATTACATCGTTTTCCACAAGGGTAACTAGAGATGCTGAAATATAATTGGCTAAACTGGCATTGGGCAGGTTAAAGAGACCAAAACAAAGACAGATGTCACAGAAAGCAAATTTTCAAAGCAGAATATCTGCCTTCAGCATTGTTTTTCAGACAAACAAGAATGTTCACTTAGCATGTTTCTTAAATATCTGCAAACATTTTATGGTGTTTTTTTGCATTAGAAGAATCAAAAGCAGCACCTTAAAGTATTCGGTTTTCTTATTTGTCTGGTTCAGGCCATAATCATAACATTTAATCTATATTTAGGAAGTTTTGCTCTCAATCCACTCTAAGTTTTCAATCATCTTTTATTTTTTTTGATGTATGATATCAGGATAAAATATTGTAAGAGCTAATCCCATCCAGCTTGGATAGCATCTTGGGGGTCTTGCATATTAGGTTAATATTAAATTTCACTCAAAATGAATTTTTCTTCCATAATGTAACATATTTCAGAGTGAAACTGAACATTCAATGAAATTTATTGTCTTTGTTAATCCAGTGGGGTTCCTGCTTCCTAAGAATGGAAGCAGACCTGAATGTGATATTGCAGTTGATTGCGGAGAAAATGGAAATTTTGACCCGCTGGGACCTGACATCATGACTGGAAAATTTTTTTCTTTGGAATAACATGCTCATATGAATAATGCACAGCAGTACCAGAAATGTGAATTAAGAGGTTTTTTTTTTTTAGAATTGCAGTGGAATATGTGCACAGGTATATCAGCTAACATTAACAACTGTGTAGTTTAGCTTGTATCACTGTAACCATGTAAATATAATATAATTCAATTTACAAAGAACACCAATAACGACGTCCTTTAAAAAATAGCTGTAAATTAATACATTTGTGAATTAAAAGGATAGTTCAGCATTTTTTAAAAAAAAACCTTTGATCGTTTACTCACCCTACAGTTATTGTAATACAAAAGAAAATGTAGTGAATAATCTTAAAAAGGAACAGCTTTTGACTTCCATAGTATTTTCTTATTTTATTTTATTAAAGAGCCTCTATTTTGGGTTTTTGAAAGTGACCTTCCATACAGTGTGTAAAACTGCTCTAAGTGAATGAAAACATCCAGCTGATGTTTAAATCTAAAAGTGCAGCATGTTTAAAACTATTTATTCTTTAGCAAAATAGTTGACTCGGAGTCGAATAAATGAATTGAGTTGGGTTTGGATCATTTGTTTGATCGCATCGACTTCGATACGGTACATTACAAAATATGTACTTCCAGCCCCGGTAAAATGTGCACGTGCTTTCCCTCCGCACATTAGCGGAGGCGCAGGGGATCACAGGACTGATCATGATATAAAGTTGAAATTGTAGCCCCAGTTTCCTGTTCTTAGCTTACAGGAGTGGAACGCGGTGTGGTCTTCTGCTGCTGTAGTCCATCTGCCTCAAAGTTGGACGTGTTGTGCATTCAGAAATGTTCTTCTGCATACCTCGGTTGTAAAGAGTTGTAATTTGAGTTACTGTTGCCTTTCTATCAGCTTGAACCAGTCTGGCCATTCCCATCTGATCTCTAGCATCAACAAGCCATCTGCCCCCACAGAACTGCCGCTCACTGGACATTTTCTCTTTTTTGGACCATTCTCTGTAAACCCTACAGATGGTTGTGCCTGAAAATCCCAGTAGATTAGCAGTTTCTGAAAAACCCAGACAAGCCTGTCTGGCACCAGCAAACATGCCATGTTCAAAGTCAATTAAATCTAATTTCTTCCCCATTCTGATGCTCGTTTTAAACTGCAGCAGATCGTCTTGACCATGTCTACATGCCTAAAATACATTGAGTTGCTGCCATGTGATTGGCCGATTAGAAATTTGCATTTACAAGCAGTTGGACAGGTGTACCTTATAAAGTGGCCGGTGAATGTACGTTAGAAAATATATGTATACTGCTCTAGTGGTTTTGAAATATTTTAATTAAAAAAATTCTTAAATATGGTGAGATTTAACTATGAACTTTTGAATGGTAGTTTGTATTTATTTATTTATTGTTAGAATGACAATGAACAAAACTCCATATGTCCTTTACTTTCTACTGATTTATAAACATTATTGACTGAATCTATGTACTTCTACTTGAGGGAAAAGCATCATGTAAATATTTGCTTCAGATTCAGAATAAAACTATTTTTTTTTGTGTGTGTGGTGGAACAGCAATGTTTTCCAGCACAATTCCCAGTTCACAGTGACAGCCAGAAAGACATTCCGCAATCTTTTGACGGGAATGAAAAGGAGATCATTCATGTGAGAGAGCATTCACGAAAGATCAAGTGGCCCTTTGCTTTCGACATTAAAATGGCCCTCTTTCTCTCCTGAGAAATCAATAATATCAATACTAATCCAGTGGAATAGAGCGATGGAGTGAGAAGAAGAGAGTGTAAAAATGACAGAAAAGAGGCTGTTGTTGGAACTGTTTGATCTGCAAAGCACTGTGCCAGGCAGAGAGGATGTGGAGGGCAGGAGAGATCAAAATGGCTTGTGGGAGTTGGTGGGACTCCAGCCAGCCGCACAGATGAATGGAAGAGAAACTCAAGCTCTCCAAGGCCTTCAGAGAAAAGGTCTCCCTCCTGTCTGTTTCAAAGCCGTTTGACCTACACCTGTATTAGCCACTCTGTTTAAAGTGACGTGCTAAGGGACCTGTGCTCCACAATGCCGCTTTTTTCATCTGAGACGGCAGGGCACCTTTGTGAAGTTCAGTTCATATCATGATTGTGGAGAAAGGTGATGTAAATACAAGAATTTATCAAAGCCTCCAGAATTTAGAGATTTTTGTCAAATCAAGCAAATGTCACAAATATTTGAGAGGCTCATACTTTTTTTTTCAAATTTCATGCATATTTTGGCCAGTCAGGTGATTGGTAAAATTCCTGTCATTTCACAGAGTACTATCTGCATAGTTTTACATTCAAAAATATCATTAACTGTGAATAATTGCTGTAAAATTGACAGTATTACTGACAATTTTGGATGCCAGTAATACTGTAAATTTGATAAGCTAGTTTTTTAAAATTTTTGGGGATTTTTTGAGATATACAGTTGAAGTCAGAATTATTAGCCACCCTGAATTATTAGCCCCCAGTTTATTTTGTCCCCAATTTCTGTTTAACTAAGAGATTTCTTCAACACATTTCTAAACATAATAGTTTTAATAACTCATTTCTGATAACAGATTTATTTTAACTTTGTCATGATGACAGTAAATAATATTTTACTAGATATTTTGTAAGACACTTCTGTACAGCTTAAACTGACATTTAAAGACTAAACTATATTAATTAGGTTAACTAGGCAGGTTAGGGTAATTAGGCAAGTTTCTGTATAATGATGGTTTGTTCAGTAACCAATCGGGAAAAAATAGCTTTAAAGGGCTAATAATTTTGTCCTCAAAATGGTTTTTAAAAAAATTTAAACTTCTTTTATTGTAGCCGAAAATAAAACAAATAAGACGTTCTTCAGACGAAAAAAAATTATCAGACATACTGTGAAAATGTCCTTGCTCTGTTAAACATCCTTTGGGAAATATTAAAAAAAATAAAGAAATAATAATAATAAAAATCAAAGAGGGGCTAATAATTAGCCCCCCTGAATTATTAGACCGCTTGTTTATTTTTTCCCCAACTTCTGTTTAATGGAGAGCAGATTTTTTCAACACATTTCTAAACATAATAGTTTTAATAACTCTTCATAACTGATTTATTTTATCTTTGTTATGATGACAGTAAATAACATTTTACTAGATATTTTTCAAGACACTTCTATACAGCTTAAAGTGACATTTAAAGGCTTAACTAGGTTAATTAGGTTACCTAGGTAGGTTAGGGTAATTAGGCAAGATATTGTATAACAGTGGTTTGTTCTGTAGACTATCGATAAAAAATTAGCTTAAAGAGGCTAATAATTTTGTCCCTAAAATGATGTTTAAAAAATTAAAAACTGCTTTTATTCTAGCCGAAATAAATCAAATAAAACTTTCTTCAGAAGAAAAAATATTATCAGACATACTGTGAAAATATCCTTGCTCTGTTAAACATTATTTTATTTCGGCTACAATAAAAGCACTTCTAATTTTTTTAAAAAGCCATTTTAGAAACAAAAAAAGATTAGCCCCTGTAAGTTAGTTATTAGATTTTTAATTGTTTTTTGACTGTCTACAAAACAAACCATCTTTATACAATTACTGGCCTAATTACCCTAACCTTTAAGAAGGTTTCACACCAGATGCACTGCTTAGTGCAGCACCATGACGCACCATGCATTTTAGAATTCTAAACATAGATTACTATCAGGATGTGCACACCGGTGCTGGAAGTCGGCACCTGTTCGCGGCGCCCAGGTATGTCTCAGGACACTGTTCATATTTCTGCCGTGCCACGGAGTGCCATATGAATAGTTTCATTTTAAATAACATCAATGTGCACGTCTGGTGTGTGGCCATCTTTAGAATTATTATTATTAACAATTTGTTTCATTTTTAAATTTGATTCTGCAGGCTTTAATGGTAAACTCTAATTTCTCTCAGTAATTCTTTTTATATAAATTACAGAGATCAATGGCTCTTGAGGTCAAAAATTTAATTATTAATTTAGACGTGTAGAATTGTGTAAATATTCACAGAAAAACAATAAAAAGGTAAAAAATTTACTAAAACTCACCACAAAATTAGTCACATTAGCCATTAGTCAACACAAAAAATGTTTTTCCCACATCCTATTACTACTTTCGAGCATAGTTGGAAACAGTTTTTAGGAAATAGTTACAAACAGACACTAATACCAAATTGTTGTAATACAGTATAGGAAATAATTACCGAATACCGAACCTAAATGCACATATGCACTTACCAGATCATTCATGTTGGCTTGGCTAGCAGGGTGGACTTCCTCCAGAAACTCCAGCAAGTAAAAAGTGTACTTGTCCATCAAATGGACCCCAATTGCCAAGTCTGGCTGATGCTGTAAAGGCAGATGAATCAGTGTCAAAAATCTGAACAATTCAGGGAGGAGAAGAAACAATTCTTTTAGTAGAGTGTACCAATGTAGAGGCTGATCTAGTTCAGGTTATTATGGGCTGTTCATACCAAATCCAACAGCACTAGATTAATATGGCGTTATTTAACAGACAAATGTCGTGAGCGCAGTATTACAAGTCAGGAGCACATTCATGTAATACGAGCGAGTGAATCTCTTTGCTTTTGCGCCAATTTCTTCTATTTGTGAACAAAACTGCTCGCGAGCTCTCAAATGTAAGTTGCTCACGCACAAAACTTCTCGCATACACTCAAATGTGCGCTGCTCATGCAAATTTTGTTTGCAGACTCTCAATACACTGCTTGCACAGTGAGATGATTTGCAGACTCACAATTTGTGTCTTGTGTTCCCTTTTCTTTTAGTTCCTTTTTTATATAATTTAGATTGGTACACTATTTATTAACAAATAACCAAAATACTAAAAATAGCCCTACATATTAATTTTTTCATCTAATAAACTATCACATTTTTGACTCTATGTTATATGATGAGATATTTCATGTTTTAAACACTTCAAGACACAGAGAATAGACGTTGGATGTAAAGTAAATGTTTTATTTTAAAAACATTTATTAAACATCCAAAAGGTGCACCATACTATTCAAATAAAAAGAAACAGTTAAACGAAAATAGAACTAACACAAGCAAAAATGTAACTGTGATAGAAAATAGGGAAACACTTGATAAGGTATTATAGCCCACTGTACTATTCACTCTTCAAATAAATGTCACTCAATCCCTTAAAAGTGAACTAGCCTCTGTTGTCTTCCACACTGTTGATGAGATTTTGGAGGACATGTTCCTTATCATCCACTTCACTTTGAGGAAAAGCAGTTCAGGGCCCCTGAACACGTACATTGGCATGTACAGTGTTTTGATCAGTACTATATTCAAGTACTTTAATTATATATTGCTATAGTTAAACAACAACTGTAATATAAACAAATGACCCAATGCTGTAGTTTTATACAATATAGGGTATAATATACTCTTTACTTTTGTATCAGTTCACTATTTTTAATACTACATTATGCTGGAGCATTCAGAACAAGGAGTAGGAAATAATACCTAGCACATGAAAAACACTAGTATTTATTATAGAATTTACCTTAACCTTTTAGTTTTTTCTGTATTGTTAATAAATAGTGTATAACCATATCAACATTTTTTTTTAGGGATAACCAATTTAACAGGAGGATCTCTGGAGAGCAAAAGCAGGAAAGGAAGAGGAAACACAAAGCACACATTGTGAGTCTGCATTATCGGACCGAGCAAGAGCAGATAATTCGCACGCGAGAAGCCAGTGTTTTGAGTGCGCGTGAGAAGATTTGCGAGCGATCAGCGTATATTTTGGGTAAACCTGGGATAACCAAAGTAACAGGAGGATCTCTGGAGAGCAAAAGCAGGTAAGGAAGAGGAAACACAAAGCACAAAATGACTACGTTTACATGGACATCAGTAATCGTATTATTTGCCTTAATCTAATTAAGACAGTAATAAGATTAAGGCGTTAATATGAGGTGCTTTTTGAAAGTTTATTTCACGATCGTATTTAACATGTTATCCGCTTGTTAAGTGGTGACGTGTTTGCAACGTATGTAATACTGTTTCTGGGTCCAAGCCGCCATTAATTTGAGTTGAGAAATCATTCCTTTATGATCACTTTTTATTCATATCACACATTAAAGTTAATTTTACAAAAAGTCATAGTGTACACAACAACCGCTGGGCTTGCTGCGTAACAAATACCAAAATTTTTACAATTTCTAAAACAATGAATAAATTTCTGGCCATCGGATATTAGGCATGGACATATATATTATTCCGATTGTGACTTTCGAAAGTATTAAATCGTTTTGTAAACGTTTATTATTGCCATTTCATGAATCTCCCCATTTAGTTGAATAGAGCGCTTGGACCCAGAAGCCGCTCCGCATGACGTCACACTTAACAAGCGGATAGATTTACGTCATTGAGTCACCGCGCTATCCGCATTTCCTCTAAAGTTTCATGTAATTTCGAGCGTTTCATTATTAATTTGTCAACTTTAACTGCGGTTTGGCACTTACACTTTCATTCGCGCATGCGAACAGCCCTACATGATGGAAATAGTTCAATCAAGGTGTTTACATGTCTATAATGCACTTTAATTATGCGACTAAAATCGCATACTCCACACGTCTTAATTCGATTTCTCTTTAGTTCGATTATGACCTTAATCTGATTAATTAAAAATCGCTGTTTACATGGTCGACTCCTAATCAGAGTATTGTCTTAATCGCATTAAAATCGAATTATTGGTGTCCATGTAAACATAGTCAGTGTGAGTCTGCATTATCGAACTGAGCATGAACAGATAATTCGCACGCGAGCAGCCAGTGTTTTGAGTGCGCATGAGAAGTTTTGCGCAGCGTATATTTCAGTACGTGCGGGAAGTTTTGTTTGCGAGTGGTGAATATTTGAGAGCTCACAAGCAGTTTTGCCCATGAACAGAGGAAATTAGCGCACGAGCAAAGAGATAAGCTAGCTCGTATTATATGAATGCGCTCTCGAATTGAAATACTGCGCTCACGACATTTTTCTCAGTGAAATAATGCCATAGATTAAACAAACACATCAAATGAAATTCAAAAGCAGACACAAAGTACATAAGGGTTTCTGTAAAAATAAAATAAAATAAAATTAAAAATTAAAATATTCAGTCCATGACACTCCAAAATAATTGAACATGTTAAAAAAGGCTCTAAAGCATAAAAAAAACACTCGTGCACCTGTGTATTTCTGCAAAGAGTGGTGCATTTGGCAACCCGGGCTCATTGTGGAAACGTAGCCCCGCGGACGTCTCTGCGGACCGTGATTTACATCCCGGGAGGTACGTATTCGAGCGGTTTTTGTTTTCGCGGATCCGCGAGAGGCCGCTGTGCGCGCTTTTTCGCGTCTCTGCCGCCCTCCTCTTTCTCCTCCTCCTTCCCTAAACCCGAGTGACGGTTCGCAAAAGTCGTCCAGAAAAAAAAAAAAAAGCAAAAGCCATCGTCTTCGATTTCGACCGCGTTTTCGGATCCCGCCGCGTTCTCGCCCTTATTTTTTGGATTCCGTTTTTCGTCTTACCTGATTTCCGGAACCGCTGTTCCCCGGACTCGATCCCGGTCGCCGTCCCCGCGGCCGATTCCTTCTCCTCCGGGACCCTCCGCTACGCCGACGCAAAGCTGTGAGCTAAGCGGACAAACTGGTTGCATCGGAAAAGCCCTCCACTCGGAGGCGAGCGCGAAGAGGAGGGGCGGAGCGGCGCCACACCGCCCCGCAGCGTTCGCTTTAAAAAAACTAAACGCGGCCTTACGTACCTCCGGCCACGTAAATCGCGGTCTCCAGAAACGTCCGCAGGGCTACGTTTCCAGAATGAGCTTGGGTTGGCATTTGGAGTCATTTTGAACACTCAGTATATCACATGATACAAATAAATAACTAAATAGCACAGAACATTCTGTAGCTCAAACAATAATGTCAAATCAACAGTAATTCACTATACAATAAAGGGAGAAAACTTATAATATTACAGCATGATTCTCAAAAATCAAGACTCCAAGACCATGTGATAGGGATTTATTGTTTATGAGTTTCCAAGAATCTGTAAAATTGCAATGACTTCTAAAAGCTATAACACAGCTAATATCAGTTGTGGAAAGGATAAAGTGAATAGGTTTTGACTTACTGAAAGTGAGTCCTCCCCTACTTGGCTGCTAGCAAGAGCCATGATGTTGGGTGAGTAAAACCTCTCATACATGGAGGCCCCCTGGCACGTGTCTATGATGAACAACAATTCATTATACCTGTAAATAAAAAAAGAGGCTGCTTTTAGGAAACTGACTGACTGCAAACTGGTGCTTTTTAAAATACCATTAACCAACTGTTAATGTAAAATCTCATTTAAATTTAATTACAATTAATAAGTATATGCCTATTTTTTTTCTTGTCCCAGGGGTTTCGCGTTAACGCAGCAAATTAACGCCGATAACGGCCCACCACTAGTATGTATGAATGTATGGAAGTATTAATGAATGATTAAATGAATGAATAAACTTAAATAAATAATCAAAGTTTGATTTTTCGAAATTTACACTGCAATAACATTCACAAACAGCTATTTTACACACTACATTAAATGTAATGTCTGAAAGAAGCATGACAGGAGCTCTTTAAATCACTTCCTAAATGTAATATTATAATGTAATATTGATTGTAATTAAATTCAGGATGATCCGACCTGCAGTGCAGGGCTCAAGGCTGTCTGAGCCAAAACAGCACTCTATGCAAGCCGTTGCCACAGCAACCAAGAACCCAGCACCCATTAATGCTCCATTCAAAATAAAAATAAATAAATAAAGTAAATAAATAGTAACAAATCGTGTGTGAGTGAGGGACTAGGAATTGCACAAAGCTGAGATGTAATGGAAAAGCAGTGAAGCACAAAAGGAGATTCCCTATTTATTGGATCAAGCCTGCAATTACCACACTGATAGGCACAAAACATCCTGTGCTGTATTCCTCTAAAGGAAAAGAGGAAGCTCTCATTTCACCTCACACCAGCCTCCCACAATATTTACACAGCGCTGGAACCTAAACAGCCTATTAGAGCATTTATAACACTCAATTAATAGGTTAGGCAGCTGCAGCGCTTCAGCCATGTGCGTCAGTGCTGTGTTCAACAGCCTTAAAAAAAGACTTAACTGTTTGTTTCATGTTCACTCCCTAAAGGGCAAATCCTTTCACTTGTGCTTTTCGGCAACGTTTAAAGGATCAAAAAAACCTTGAGTACTTTCTTGTGATTTTAACAAATTTGTGTATGTGTTAAGCATCAGTTAAGATAATGTTAGCACCTGTCAGCTTTAATTGTGGGGAAAACTGGATAATTTTGAGCTTTTGTCAGCTAATTTCATCTTCCGGGTTTAAAATAATTTTTGGGATGGAATCAAAATCGGTGATGTTGCGCGAATCTGCAAATGGAGTGATGATGCGTCGGTTTCTCAGTATTATTCATAGTTAAGTTTTCTTATCTGATGAGAAGACGCTGCTTATTGACTATTCATGAGAGCATGTGCTTTCCGAAGGCAAGGCAGACCTGCCAAGCTGTGATACCGTGTCCATGCACAGCACGCAGTATTTAGCCATTCATGAAGGGTCATGTGTGTTTGTTTCCATGATGTCCAGGGTTCGTTGCATGTTTTTCCCTGCGATGCTGTCAGGGCTAATGCAGCAAAGCTGTTGGTTTAAAGCAAACATTTTTTGTCGGGAGAGCTGTACGAGAATTAGAGAAGGGCAGACTTTGTCTTTTATCAGTTGAGTTCATTATCATTCAGACACATCACCTATATTCGAAGCATTGAGCAAGATAAATGTGGAGCTGCTTTTATCATTGGTGTCTTAATACAAAGAGCTGTATGACGAATCCAACAGCAACTACAATAATGTCGGCAGAAGGGAGTTATTATGGAGAGTAGCAAACAGCATTCGATAGTGGGTTTCATTGAACTATTCTTTCATGACTTGTGACTTTATTGGCAAGTTCATTAAGCCCCATCTAATAATAGGGGGTGATTTTGCACAGTCACTCTGCTCAGTGGTGGTGAAAATCTCTTTCTCGAACAAATGCAAAAAAATCTTGAAAAATGTTCACAATAAGTGTGAGCCTTAAGACAAATTTTTTTTTGTAAACTAGCAGCAGTTTTGCAGATTTGCACCAGATACATTATTACAATTGCTTCATATATATGTGTGTGTGTGTGTGTGTGTGTGTGTATATATATATATATATATATATGTGTGTGTGTGTGTGTGTGTGTGTGTGTGTATATACTGTATATATATATATATATATATATATATATATATATTTTTTTTTTTTTTTTTTTTTCTTTAGCACACAATTATCTGAGCACTAACAGTTCCTGTTAGTTATCCTCACAGTATTCCATAATCCCTTAAGAGTTACACATTCAGCCACTTGTTATAATTAATAATGGCCCGTTTCCACTGAGTGGTACAGTACGTTACGGTAAACTTTTATGGCCGTTTCCACTGTCAATCGGCATACCGAACCGTACCGTACTGTACCACTTTTTCTGCACCCTTTTAAAAGGGTACCAAACAAGAGAAAAGGTACCAAAAGGTGGAACTACACGTGCAGCTGAATGCTGATTGGTTACAGAGATCCATCACGAGCTCGTGTGGAGCTAGCCAGAATGAAAACAAAGGAACGTTCGAGGTTACAGAAGTAACCCTTCGTTCCCCGAGGAGGGGAACGGAAGTGCCATGAATGGGAGGATTCGGATCAGAAGCCGCTTATCTGGAGAGTATTGAACGGGCCAATGAATGAAATTAATTGGCAGCGTAAGCTTGCGCAGGTGTGTGACATCTGCAATCATCTCAGCATATAAGCACACCTGAAGCCAGCAGACGCCATCCTTTTAAGCTGAAGAGACTTTCAAACAGCTAAGGGACAGTCATCATGGCGACGGAATATGGCACTTCCGTTCCCCTCCTCGGGGAACGAAGGGTTACTTCTGTAACCTCGAACGTTCCCCTTCGGTTGGGGAACTTCAGTGCCATGAATGGGAGAATATGGAAAGCGCCATAATGACTGCACCTTACCAACACCCCCGATGAGGAGATAGTCAAGCAAGCGTGACGCACCCACATCATGGGGGGCGCGGTCCTCCAACGTGTCCCTGGCCCTAATTTATCCTACTTCAACAGAAGTTTTACGGATTTAGATATATTTTTTGGGAAGTCGTGAGCATCTAGATAATTCTAGGAAATACGACAGTACGTTGGGAAGCGTGCAATCCCGATAGGGAGGACGCTGCGGAGGCCATCCGTTACCCAAGGGGGGGATAGATGGCAGAATTTACCTATGGACTAGCCCTAAAAAGGGGGAGTACGCATAGCAAAGAGTGGTTAGCGGAGAGGGAAGACACGGGTCCGCCCAGGGGGGGGACTTAACCGTGGCGGAATAAGCATATGGGATCGCCTAGTGGGGATCACGCATAGCAGGCACCTATACCCAAAACGCGGGCTGACCAGCGGGCAGACCTACAACGTAGTGGGCCAGCAAGTGACTCCTCCGCTGAGTCAGTGCTGGGGGCCACGGAGGAATCTGCAGGGCTCACCTGACGGGGAACTTTACTGACAGATAAAAAAGGCGCACGTACCTCCGTGTTAGGGAGAATGGCGCAGCAAGCGTGTTTCAACACCCTACCGAGTTGTCTCCTCAATCACCAAAGGGTTACCTAATACCCTTGAGGAAACCGGCTCCACCCGCAGATTGTAAAACCTTGCAAATGTGTTGGGTGTCGCCCAGCCCGCAGCTCTACAGATGTCTGTTAGAGAGGCGCCGCGTGCACGCGCCCAAGAGGATGCAACGCTCCGAGTGGAGTGTGCACGTACTCCCGGGGGACACGGCTGACCTCGACTCGAATAAGCGAGTGAAATGGCATCCACAATCCAGTGGGATAATCTTTGTTTCGATACGGCACTTCCCTGCTGCCGACCGCCATAACAGACAAAGAGCTGCTCAGATGATCTAAAATTCTGAGTACGGTCCACATAAATGCGCAGAGCGCGAACTGGACAAAGTAAAGAAAGGGCTGGGTCTGCCTCCTCCGGGGGCAGCGCTTGCAGGTTCACTACCTGATCTCTAAAGGGGGTGGTAGGAACCTTGGGCACATAACCGGGGCGGGGTCTCAGGATAACGTGAGAGTAATCCGGCCCGAATTCCAGGCACGAGTCACTGACCGAAAATGCCTCCAGGTCCCCGACCCTCTTGATGGAGGCCAACGCAACCAGCAGAGCTGTCTTCAGGGACAGAAATCTTAGAGATACTGATTCGAGTGGCTCAAAGGGATCGGATCGCAGACTCGTGAGAACGAGGGCGAGATCCCAAGAGGGCATGAGAGGGGGGCGAGATGGATTAATTCGCCTAGCACCCCTAAGGAACTGGATGACCAGGCTATGCTTTCCCACGGTGCCGCCAGCTACCGCGCTATGATAAGCGGAGATGGCGGCCACGTAAACCTTGAGAGTGGAGGGCGTCTGCTGTCCAACTTCTCTTGAAGGAAAGAGAGCACAACACTAATCTGGCAATTTCGGGGGTCTTCTCTGCGAGAGACGCACCATTCAGTGAATAGACTCCACTTCAGGGCGTAGGCGCGCCTCGTGGAGGGGGCTCTAGCCTGAGTGATGGTATTAACCACCGCAGTCGGTAGGTTACCTAAGTCTTCCTCGCGTCTAGGGACCACACGTGGAGGTTCCAAAGATCGGGGCGAGGGTGCCAGATGGTGCCCTGTCCCTGAGAGAGTAGGTCCTCTCTCAAAGGGATCCGCCAGGGGAGGGCCGTCGCGAGGAGTGAGAGCTCTGATATCCAGGTCCGGTTGGGCCAAAGGGGCGCAACTAGCAGAACCTGTTCCTCGTCCTCCCTGACCTTGCACAGAAACTGCGCGAGCAGGCTCACTGGGGGAAACGCATACTTGCGCATGCCCCGAGGCCAGCTGTGGGCCAGTGCATCCGTGCCGAGAGAGCCCTCGGTCAGGGAAAAAAACAACTGGCAGTGAGCGTTCTCGGGGGAAGCAAACAGATCGATCTGGGCCTCCCCGAATCGCGCCCATATCAGCTGAACAGACTCGGGGTGGAGTCTCCATTCTCCAGGGCGTAACAGCTGTCGTGAGAGCGCATCGGCTGCACGATTGAGCGTGCCTGGGACGTGAATGGCGCGCAGCGATTTCAGCCGCGGGTGACTCCAGAGGAGCAGACGGCGGGCGAGCTGAGACATGCGGCG